ATCGGCGGTACACCAACAGAATCCCCAGTCTGTCTCTTGAGCCCAACACACAATACAGGCCCTCAAGACCATTTCCCAAGGGGACAGGGAGTCTGGAAAAGTGGAAGGAATCCTTGTAGACTATTGCCACGCCTCCTCCCCGACCCTCCGGGTGACCCTGGTGTTGGACCAAGTACCCAGGGGGACACAACTGAGATGGAGGAACTCCTCCTTCTTCTCCCACCCAGGTCTCAGTAATGCATGCCTATTTGGGACCTAAATCCTAGATCTACAGTACTCTGTGTCTCACCTAGAACAGATCTGTTGAATCAATGAGTGAATAATAAGTCAACATTTATGTAAGTCCCATCTGGTTTACTGGATTTGCTTTAAACGGGACTACCAACTGAATGGAGACACATGTTTTCTCAGTGATGGGATGCATAACATTGCTGGAATACAACTACCATCAGCCCTCACCACTGGCCACCACTGGCTGTGCAGATTAGGCTGATGGGCCCTGTAGTGCAAAACCAGCTAGAAGGCCACTGCTCGTTATATCTGCATGCGCAAAGATGTAATTGGACTACTAACAGCCCACACCCTTAGCTATGCTGTGTAGTACTGATAGGAATTGCAGTTCAGTGATGTCTGACCATAGTTGCTGTCCAACAGGTTGCAGTCCGGTGTACCCCAGTCTTGCAATAGCCAAAGGAAAGCTTCATTTGAAATAAATGTTAACATGAATAAAAATATTCAGGATAGCACAGATTTGTTCATATTATTGGATGTTATAAGGGGAGCTTCTGCACATCATATGTTTAGAGAACAAGGATTCAATCCACATGTCTTAATATTTTCCCATATCCTCATTTTGAACAGTTTTTAAATTTTTCCTTTGTTGTTGTTTTTTTGCTGCAGCTGTTACTTCTTTGTCTGACTTTCAGCTACCTATTGGAAATCCATTAACCTCCAAGATTGATTGGGCAATTAATATAAAATGAAATGTTTGTTGAAATCTAGCCGATCTAACACGACAAAATTCATGACAGTCAGCCACGCTGTAAAACCTAGTACACAAGCATACATCACAGAAACCATAGCTTGGAAAAAATGACATTTCTGACTATA